TTTCGTCCTCTCTCTCTCTCTCTCTCTCGATCTTTCTCTCTCTCTCTTTCTCTGTCTTACTCTGCCATTCTAGATCTTACTCTCTCGATTTTTCTCTCTCTCTGACTCTCGATTTCTCTCTCCTTCTCAATGTTACTCTCTCTTTTTCTCTTTTCCACATTCTCTTTTAATTTCTTCATCTTTTTCATCTTTTCTTCATCTCATCTCATCTCTTCTTCTCTCGTCTTCTGCTTCTCTTCTATACCCATATCTCTCATTTTCCCCCTCATTTTATTATTTTATCCTTCTTTTGCTTATGCATGCCATCTTCTCCCTCTTTTACTTCTTCTGTAAGATATCTCATTAATTATTATTATTAATATTATTATGTCCACTGCTATAAGGCCATTTGTTAAGATGACTCTGAAAGGCTGTCAGATTAATAAGTGGTCCTTTATTCTTCAACTCCCCTCTCTCTTAAATTGTCTTCATTCTTCCCCCATCATACTCTTAATAAATCGCCCATCTAAAGGCAAGTCAGGGTCTTTCGATCCACTTGTCTGGTCATCTTAGACATGTGTGTTCATAAGGCGCAGAGTGCAGCACGGGAGCTAAAGTCGAACCAGCTTCAAGCTAGGTGGTTTTTCGTCGTAATTTAAGGGGGTCTCCACACGCCCAAGCGTGTCACGAACCCATCGTGAGGTAGGTCCCACCTCACACCCTATAATTCTCTCTCGTTAGTTGGTACCTACCCACTTGCGCACAACATGCATTGCATTTTCCGAGAGAGCGATCGCGGGCCGGACCCCACATCCAGGTCCTACTCACGGTCCCTTAACCCAACAAGATCGAGGCCCAACCAATCAGTTCTCGATATTTGGTGAGAACTGGATCAGTGCCGATGATTAGCGATTCAGATCAGACGATTCTGATCTCGATCGCCCTTTCTTAAAAACCTCTATTCCAACTAAGAATCATTATATGTATGTTTTTGAAAAAAAAAATGAATTTTGATTTTATAGATACTAAAATGTTAAATTTCAAATTTGAATGGCCCTTGTTCAATCTTGAGATTTTATTTTTTTCAAGAAAATAATTATGCAATATGAAAATTTCTTCTCCTGAAGTCGATCACGAAGCTTAAAATATATATCGTATCTGAGGGAGCAAACGAACAATGTGCAACTGTGTGAACAGCGTATCTTTTGATTGACAAAAAGGAAGGAAAAGGAGTTTCATTATCACCAGCGGGAAGGAGCGAAAAAAACAAAAACTCACGTTCATTATCACTGCGGTGAACACGATGCACCATTAGGGAACACGTTGTACTACCTCGTATCGATTTTCCATTGACCCCAACAAATATAACAATCCCTCACAGGATCTGCTCCGCTACTATAAATAATGGCAGTCCCAAGCAGCAAACCACATTAGCTCAGCGAGGTAGAGCTCTGTTTTCTAGGAGTGAGAGAGTGAAAATGGCCCCATCCATCGACGCTTCTCTTGTTCAGCCCGTCGATTTCAGGCCGAAACCCGACAAAGTTGTTCACCTCGAGGAAACTCCGGTGATCGATTTCTCTATACTCCATTCGCCTCAGTCTGGCAACTTAGAGAGCGTCATTTCTCAGATGAGAAAATCTCTGCAAGAGTGGGATTTCTTTGTTATTGAGAACCATGGCTTAGCCCCTGAGCTCTTTGACAATGTGAGGAATGCCATGGCGAAGTTCTCTTCTCTGCCATACGAGGAGAAGAAGAAGGCATCTAGAGATTTAAAGAACCCTTGGGGTTATAACGATAAGGACCACACTAAGAATACTAGGGACTGGGCTGAGGTTTTGGATTATGTTGTAAATGAAGGCTTTCAGATTCCTGCTAATATGGAGCCTGATTGCAAAGAAACTGTAGCGCTCAAGAATTTGTGGCCTCCAAACCCCGAGGAGTTTCAGTAAGGATCTCTCTCTATCTCCCTCTCTCTCTATAAAAATTAATATATCTCATGCTCATATGTAATCCAGAGCCTGCGCAGAAGCGATCTAGTCAGTTCGGTACTAATAGGCACCGGATCTCACAGCCCCTGGTTTTGTTTTTCTAATATCGAACATACCTTAAATGATAAAAACGGAAAATATATAATGAGATCATTTATTTTATTGACCAAACTCAGAGTTCAATTTTTTTTTTTTTTCGAACCTCGTTGTGCACCGAAGCTATTGATAGGCTTATTGTGACACCTACTTGTTTCCATCACCTGCAGCCTACCTTTTGTAGCATTTTGCCAGGTTATAGAAAACGAATTGTTGATCAGGATCGACTACCCCCAAATTTGTATTGGATTGGTGATTTGGATCAGAGAATCGGCCGGTCTCAGTCTCAAAAAATATTAAAAAAATCATTATAATTTCTTTAAAATCTAGTTTTTTAAGTTTTTTTAAAAAATAGTGGCAATTGCATTATAATTTTTTATGATTGTATTAAAAAATATGTAAATATTGAGAACCTGTCTCATGTTGAATATTTGTTTTCTATTAAATTCATTTTATAGTTACAATAAAATTTAAATACAACATGATAACAAAATGAATCCTTCTAATTCAATTTTTTTTTTATTATTATTTTTGTATGAACTTAGTTGTTTTGATTTTTGAAACAAGCTATATGCAACAATTTTAGTGAAAGAAATTATTAGTATATATAAATAGAATTGGCTAGATCTGTTAGAGATCTGGCTGGCTCATGAGAGGATCCGGCCGGTTCCTGATATGTATCAAGAACCGTACCGACTTCAATAATTCTCAATCTTGATCAAATGATTTCGATCCGAATCAACGATTTTTATAACGCTTTTTATAAACCTGTTAATACCAAGCAAAAAATTATTACATGAAATTATTATATAATTGTCAAAATAGTTATCTATATCGAACTCAATTGATGGTCCCACTAGCCAATCGGTGCCTAGGTTTGATCTAAGGTTAAAATCTTGCTAGAAAATTGAGTTTGGTTTGAAAAATTAGTTGAATTAATATTTTCCCCATTTTTGATAGTCCGACCAAATGATTTCTGTTCGTTTGATCAGCTAAATACAATTAGATATTTGTTATTGTATTTTATATTTAAAATATTATATTCCAGCCCAACCAGTTCATGGTTTTGATTGGGCCAACCCCTTTACTAGTTTACTAGCTACTTGGATCCTTAATAATATTGCTATATGTAATGAAAATGCACGATACTTGGGCCCAAAAACATTTTAGATAATCTGGTAAATTGCGGTTGCGAGAGCATACTATTTATTTCCTCCTTCCGGTAAAACCCAAGATAAAAGTAATTTTAGGACTCTTTTGAGATATGGGCTCTTGAACAAAAATCAAAAGAAGAAAAACATAAATCAAACACTCTAATATTCTTGAAAATTTGATGTCCCAAGGTTGAACATGAAGAGGCCAATTTTGGGGTGGCAAGATCTCAGTTTATCTGAACACCAAAATTTATATTCTCTTTAAATATCGACTTAGTGATTCCTGGATGCTAAAATTTTGGACAAGAAAATCTTCCAAGTACCTCTTTTGCCCAAGGGAGTTGCTTTCCTATACGTTCCTGCGTGTGAGAGCTAAACCCTTTGATCATGGTCTTCTCTGTTACAGGAAAGTATGTGAGGATTATGGTCGAGAGACCACAAAACTGGCATCCAAGCTGCTAGAAATCCTTGCCCTCTGCCTAGGTTTGCCTGCTGATCGCTTGAACCGATACTTCGAGGAGACGATGACCTATGTTCGCTTAAACCACTACCCTCCATGCCCATCTCCTGACCTAGCATTAGGGAAGGGTCCGCATGTTGATGCCAGTGCTTTCACGCTCTTGACCACCGATGGAGTTAGCGGATTCGAGGTGAGGCGGAAATCCGACGGTGAGTGGGTTAGGGTCAGGCCCACGGTCAACTCCTTCATCTTTGTGCCAGGGGACATCTTCCAGGTATAATGAAAAACCCTAAAATTTCCATGTTTAATATGCATTGTTTAGAAAATCAACTCGGTCAAGGTACTGGAACTTTGGGACCTTGGTCAAGGCGAGTTATTTAGCCGAATTAATGTTAAAAAAATAGGTAATAACAAAAGAAAGTAGGGTATATATAATAAGATACTAGGCTTATAATGAGTACTTAAGTGGTCTATTGGTAAAAGCCTTTGGGGCCTTTTTTTTTTTCAATAGGTTGAGGTATCAAATCCTGCCCATTGCATGTCATTCTGTGAATTTGTGAACCTCATGCTCAAACCGGGTTCGAAACCTATGATGGTGTGTAATTTTTTAATAAGAAAAAGGAATCCTTCTTAATTAATTAATTAAAATCATAATGGTGCTTTTTTTTTTAATAAAAAAAAGGTACTCCACTTAGTTGTTAACTGAAAACAGTATTTACTATTTTTATTTCTGAAAAAAAAATCCCCCCTTAATTGTTTAAGAAAATAGATTATATTAGATGTCAACCTCATACTGTAGAAGTGAGATGCACATCAAAACCCATCGAAGAATGTTGTTTCATTACTAGAAAATTCTCCAATAGATCATCATGACCTTGATGTATATGATATGAGACGAAATGATTTATTTAGAAATAGTCCATTTTGTAACACATTATTTGGACTGTCCATTTTTTAGATTTTCAAGTGCTTATAGATTTGTTATATCTACATTATTTTTGAAGCTTCCAATTTCATAATAGAGGTGGAAATAGACTTTTAACGAGATTTTGAGATGCACCTTACCGCAATTGTTTAAGGTTTACACCTTATACAAGCCTCGCCCATTGTTTCATCAAACCATTGAACTTGAAGAACACTTATTTTTTAATAAAATAAGAGTCAATCTTCTTACGAGGAAATGCGTCTTATGTTGTGTGAAAATTTTGCAGGTTTGGACAAATGAAAAGTACAATAGCTTGTTACATAGGGTGGTGGTGAACTCTCAACAGGAGAGGTTCTCCATGATCACTGTGTTTACACCATCCTATCATACATTGGTGCAGCCTCTTGAAGAGATGGTTGATGAGCAAGATCCCCCTAAATACAGGCCATACAAGTGGGGAGAGTTCTTCATGACCAGGAGGCTCAGCAATTTCATGAAGTTGGAGAAGCCTGTCATTCAAATTACTAATTTTAAGATCAGAGAATAGTCCAATTTGAGCTGTTAGTCCAGTGGGTCCAATGCTTCTGTCGTATAAGTACTGTATGGAGTGTCCAATGCTTCTGTCGTGTAAGTACAGCATAATGGATATTTATGTAATTTTAAATTTTTTTTTTTTTTTATTGGTTTCCTACCACCGTGTTTGTCGTAAAGTATTTAAAGGTCTCATGTGTCCCCTATTTGTCTAGGTAAAGTATTGACAGGAGTGTCCTACATTTTGTCTTTTTTTTGGAATGGCTTCCTGGCTCGTTGTTTGTAATAAATTACTTGAAGGTCTTATGTGTCCCCTATTTGTGTAGCATTTGGAGTTTGGAGTATGAAGTCTCTGCCAAAGGTATCGTTGTAATGTACTTTCATTCTAGCCCTCAACTAAACATCTACGTCCTTTCTATTGATTCTGCTTTACTTATTTATGAGCACCTGTACTATGCTCCCTTGGGTGCTAGTTTAGTTCTACTCCCTGGGTTAGTTGATCCACTTGGGAGATTTTTTTTTTACCTAAAAATCATTAGATTATTATTTTTAAAATAATAATAGTAAAAAAATTGAGTTTCCTAAAACTTTGATCTCGCCCTTCAAAAATTGGACAGCTTTTATTCAATCTTGCGATATAAATTCTTTTAAATGCTTGGCGAGTGCAATTAGAAAATATTTTTTTATTGATGTTGATCTATGTCTTGAAGAGGTTATATCCAAAATTTGGGGGATTGAAATTAATCCTAGGTGGGAGGGAGTAAATGGACAGTATTCTCCGATGGAGTAATATCTATTGCCCTTGGTTCCTTGGAATTTTTTCCTTTTTACTTTGTACGAAAATATCAATAATTCTCAAAAGAGCTACTTAAATGAACAAGTTTATTATTTTATCAATAGTGGTTAGATTTCTTAATTCTTTTTATTTTAGTACTTTCTCTATAACTTTTTAAAAAATTATCGAAATTGCCTCTATTCTAGGCTTCTCAATCTGAAAGAGTGAAACCTCGAAAAAAAAAATTTAATTAAAAAATTATTATTCAGAACCCTGTATTTTGGCTAATTAGTTCAGGTGATATATAAAGCAGGCTACAACTCAAGTGTTTTGAGTGGGCAATTTACCAAAGTTCCCCCACTTATTCTAGTGTACAATCCTTTTGGTGACAATGACCTAGGGTCTTGGCAATAGTATTGCCGAGCCTGATGTTGAGATCTCTGACTCCATTCTCACTAACATACCACTTTTGAGAATGCCCAAGGGCTTTGGCGATAGTACTGCCCAGCCTCGTGGTGAGGTTTCTTACTCCATTCTCGCCCAAGGGTAGGGGCCCAAATCCCTATTGATTTACTAATGTTTTTAGAATGGCTAGGGGCCTTAACGGTAGTATTGCCAAGCCTCATGGTGAGGTCTCTGACTCTATTTTCATCAAAAGGAAGGGGTCCAAATCCCCACTGACATACTACTCTACTTGCCTTTTTGTTTTTTGCAAAACTCTCAAAGAAATGCCTGACTATAAGCCTTTCAAAAAATAATTATTGTTGTTAGGATTTAAGAGCTCTTTTATACGCGGGAACATGATTACTGAATATTGAATTCCTTCAAGATCATGTACTTAATTAACTAGAAACAAAAATATTTAGTACAAATCCCAATATGAGTATTGGAAATAAACTATGAGGATACAATTATGACAAGAACACAAAGCTTAAGATAGTGACAAACAAATTCCCTAAATAATAACGACTGAGAAATGGGGTACCATAAAACTTATATATGTTGGGGTCCCACAAAGCTTTTCTTTTAAGACGGTTATTTTAGGGTTTGACTTAGTCAGGAGAAAATTTGATAACACTCATTGGGAAGAATTATTTTTAAGCATCACATTCTCGATACCTGACTGTAGGTTAGGTATCCCAAGGGACCTCAGAAATATAAAAAATTATAGAAATAGCTAAATCCTAAATAATGCAAGATTGAAAGAAATCAATTTAGATATTGAAAAGTATTTCCCACCATCATTTGGCTTTCAAATATATGTACATGTAATGTTAAATATATATGCAACCACACACGATTGGCTAGATATTTTTAAGTTATCTCCCATTCAAAGTTTCGCTTTAAACCCATCAAATAAAAAGGTCGAGATGACCGATTTGAGGATTGTTGGGCATCGAAACAACATCTTCTAGTAAAATATTTAGGTGTTTCTTAATTTCGTTGTTTAGGGCATCACCCTTGTATAAACGTTTTCATTTTTTAGTGGGTTATTTCCATATTGTAGGGTGTGGTTTTTACAAGGGTCTTAATTTCGTTGTTTAGGGCATCACCCTTGTATAAACGTTTTCTTTTTTTAGTGGGTTATTTCCATATTGTAGGGTGTGGTTTTTACAAGGGTGTGGTTTTGACAAGGGTGAGTAAGGCGCACCTTCAAATAGTGCCAAAACATGTTGGTTCAGTAGCAAAAATCTTTGTGACAGCCTGAAAAATTATTTTCATATGTGATTATAATATTTAAAAATTCAACAATAGTGCAAACCGAGTAGATCTACAAACACCAAAAAATCTAAAAAATTGACGGTCTAGATACTCCATTAGAAGATGCACTTTTTCCAAACTAAAAATCTATTTTGTTGTCATCTTGAGGTCGAGATGATCGAATTGAGAGTATTTCAACATTGAAACAACCTCTTCTAATGAATTTTTGAGGTGAGCCTTAATTTGGATGTTTAAGGCCTCACCCTTATATAAATTTTTTTCTCTTGTATATATAGGATCTTAGTACTCATTTTGGTGTTTGACTCATTTTGAAGACATATAGGAACTTAGCATTTATTTTGGTGTTTGACTCGTTTTGAAGACAATCGGATTACACTTCTTCTCTGAGAACTGTTCTCAACTGAAAAACTTCCTATAATAGGACTATATACGTATGAGAGAGAGGGCGAGTAAAAAACTTCCTATAATAAGATGTGTGTATGAAAGGGAGAGGGCAAATACATCCCCACCACCCAAAATAATTTGACAAATCAATTAAAAAAAAGAAAGAAAGGTAACTCAGTGGGGATATGAGCCCCTACCCCGTGGGACCTTGTATTATATAGTTCAGGTGCACCTCAAAGTCTATAAAAAAAATAAAAGAAAATTACCTCAAAAACCTTTCAAGACACCACACGTCTTTATTTTCCTTTCTATACAAATTCATTTCTCTCTCATACAATTCAACTCAACACCATTTTTTTTTTTTTATGGAGGGTCCTTTCACAAGGTCCTTATGATCATTTAATCATACCAGCCAACATATTCTACCTCCAAAATCTCTTTGGTTCCCAAAACATCCTGAACCTTCTTATCAATTTCCTAAAATCTCTTACGACCCTGTGGTTTATTGGATTGGTGCCTCTCTCTTTTGAATATAGTTCAAAAAGATGAACCACCTTATATCTTTGTCACGGTGCTTTGCTTGTTAATTGTTTTTCACTCTTACAACTACAAATCCCACACCCCAACTACGTCCATCCACGTGATTAGGAGAGCTCTAATCGTGTGAGCCCAATAATATATCAAATGTAATGAAAAATTTGGAAGAGTTTTAGATCCCTTCTAACTTCAATAGATAGGGGCGGCAGTGGGCCAGGTGGCCCGGCCCAAATTATTTAAACCCTTTTGTTCTTTATATATATATATATATATATTTATTTTATATTTTTCATTTTTTTTTATTTGCCCAGGCTTGGGCGTGATAGGGTAAACGCTAGGGTCCCTTTGGCCATGTCACGGCTAGACATTCCATATAAGGATCACGGCTGGGCGAGGGCTAAGGCTAGCACGGTCCATGGCCAAGCCAGCCTCGTTACAAAGTAGCAAATTTGCTCTAGAATCAATTTTCAATACCAACAATAAAATTTGAAAATAAAAAAATGGTACAAATCTTGCATATATATGAACACTTACTTTTAGGGAGAAATGGACAGACTAGATAATTTGTTGCAATATTCATTATTTTTAGAGCTTTAAATTCTATTTTTTTCACAAATATAGTGTTCAAGCCGAGATGATCAATGTAAACGTTTTCATTGCTTGAATTGAAATTTTCAGTGAGCTATAAGGTTAGGTTTTATTTATTTTGATAAGGTTGGAGCTCTATTAAACCATTTCCTTATATATATAGATATATATGGAAAAGATAAGATTTTCCCACTAGTTCATATGAACATATAAGCCCAACGTCCCATATTGAATCTGAGCCAATCTGACGATCATGGATATCCAACAGCGTTTGAATTTTAGTTTATTTTTTACAAATTCAAATCACTTGAAATTTTAGATGTGTATTTATAAAAAATAAGGGAATCTTCGAAAAACATAAACAAATTATTTCACAAAAAATAAACTGACCAAAATACCCTCAAAACTTTTTGGGGGGTATTTTTGGTCATTTTATTTTTCACGAATAAATTTTTTTTATATTTTATTAGGTGCGCCTTGATGAGAAGAACATATACCTAAAATTTCAAGTGATTTAGATTTGTATAAAAAATATAAAATTCAAGCACTATCGGACATCTATGATCGTCAGATCGGTCCAGATTCAATTTGGTCCATTGGGCTCATATGTTCATTTGAGCTAGTAGGCTAATCCCATCTTTTTCCATATATATATATATATATATATATAAGATGCTAAGGTACACCAACGGGTATACCAGTAATAATACGTCCAACAACCCAGATTGAATATTGGTCGATCTGACAGTCACGAGACGGCCACAACCTCATTTCTTGTTTGAACTTTTAATTTTTTTCTACAAATTAAAATCAATTGAAATTTTATGAGTGTGTTCTTATCATCAAGGCACACCTAAAAAAAAATATAACAAAAATAATTTGTAAAAAACAAATTAACTAAAATACCCCTGGAACTTTTGGGGGGTATTTTAGTCTATTTATTTCATGTAAAATACTTTTTTTATTAGATTCACCTATTTTTGAAGAACACACGGCTATAATTTCAAGTGATTTCGAGTTGTAAAAAAACATTTAAAATTCAAACATGAAATAAGGTCATGACCGTTAGATCGACCTAGATTGTTGGGCGTTTACTATAGCAGTATGCACATGAACATACAAGATCCTTTTTGTCTTTTATATATATATATGATCCTATGATACTGATTTTTGGTGTTTGACTCACTTTGGAGGCAGTGGGATTACTCTTCTTCTGGGGGAAGACTTATTCTCAGGCAAAAACCTTCCTATAATGAGGATTTGTGTGTGTGAGACAGAGGGCAAATACATCCAGTACCACACAAAACAACTCAAAATTATAAACCACAAGAATAGGAAGATGCCATGGCCAAAGGTGCAGAGCTCCTACAAATTATCACAAAAGCCTTTTAGAGACACCACACAACTTTATCTCTC